TGCTGGACACGAGGCGTTCCCTCTCTCCCAGGGGCTGTGGGAGGAGGATTTCTCCTGAGTGGGATGGAGCCATCGGCTGGGCTCCATCAAAAATGCCGAGTTTACAGACCCATTTCTTCCCTGGAACTTGGTGTCTTCCTCCCTCTCTGGAAAATGAAGTTCCTGGGAGCGCAGTGGGAAGGAAAATCTCTGTATTCAGATGTGCAAGGCCTACATACTGGAAATATATCCGTGTTTCTGGAGAGCTCTGTGATGGTTTGTTCATTCCCACTCAAAGAATTCAGACATAGAAAAGGGGAGGGACAAGTTTGAGATGAATTTTGGGTAAGAAGCTGTGGATGTAAATATTTTTATTTGATTTTTTTTCCTGTTGGTTAAATTGCCTTTGATTTCAGATGGATTATTCCTGTGTTTTTTTGGCTCCACAACATCCTGCATCAATGAATTCCACAGATTCAATTATGGAGAAAAATCCCTGTTTTGTCTGGTTTTAAACTAATTTATCAGATTTCTTCACCACGGCTCCTTAATCCTTGTAATGTGAGAAGCAGCAAATAATAGTATTTCACCCATTTTATCCACGGCAGGCAGGATTTACATCTCTCTGTCTTCATTCTCTCTTCTCTGAGCTGAAGAGAATGAGTTCATCCAACTTTGGTCACTGCCACAGGGTCCTTGGGTGGCTTTGCTCTTCCATTTCTGTGCTTGTGAAATGAGGACAGCACTCCCCACACCTTCAGAAAATTGGTGCTGGTGGAGAATTTAGGGACTGTGACACAGGAAGGGTATTTTTGTGGCATTCCAGATGCCGCATCTAAATTAATTTGTGGTATAAATACAGGTGACACGGGCAGAGGTTTGGTTGTTCTCCCTCACAGACCGCTTTTCCTACGAAATACAGGGATCAGTGATGGGCATCAGAGTTTGCACCTTTGGTCATTGCTTCCCAGGGCACACTCCCAGAATTATCTTGGCTCTGAAATTACTGATATTCCCCTGTAATGAGGGGCTACAGTGAGCCCATTCCAAACTAATCCCTGTTAACTGAAAGGGAAGTCTCCCACACCTCCTTATTCACCGGGAATCCCTGCTCATGTGAGGCAGCTGTCATTCCTGGGTGAAGGGAAGGGAAGTGGGTAGTATTCCTTAAGTCATTTCACCACAATTAATTTTCAGTTTGTGTCTTTCAAACCCTTCTTCTTTTTTTGCTAAATCTTTGAGAGAGAGAATACTATAAGAGTTTAAATGGCAGGGAATCCAAAGTCCTCCTGGCTCCTCCTCTGAGGGGTTTGCCTGTACCTCGTTTCTTCACCTTTAAAGCTTCTTTCCCCCTTTCAGCTTGTCTTCTTTTTCCTCCATGTAAATATCCCAGCGAATTTCAGCCCCACATCGTGATGGACGTGATTAGAATCAGGAGCCTCGTTAAGCAGCACGAGGAGATGCTTCATTTCAGCCAGGGAGATCCATCACCTGGGCTGCAAATTATCTCCTGCTGACAGAGTGAAATGTGCTGTAACCTGCTGAAAGCAGAGCGTGATCTAAGGTATTGAGACAGGGGGGAGAAATGCACCCCGGGTATGGCAGGAAGAGTTCCTTTTTTCCCTGTTTTCGTTCTCTGGAGCAGATATGAGGGAATTGTTTCTCTGGGAGAGCAGTGGTGGGTGGGTGGGTCTTGTTGCTTCTCTCATTAATTGACAGTTCAGGGGCTGTGGAACAGGGACAGTCACAGCAGCAGTGATGAAGAGCCACCTCACACAGAAGGCATTATAGGATTGAAATTGGACCCCGAACACACTGTAAAAACCTTTTTTTCAGGGCAACTGATGGACTGTTTACAGGCAATAATTAAGACCATGTCCCTTTCCTCCAATGCTTTTGATGGCAGGGCCAAATTTCGTTTACTGTTACATCAAATCTCATATTAAGTCATTATGTATTCCATCCAAGCCAACAGAGATGGTCTGGATTAACAGAGGGGAATATTGACTTAAAGTACATATATAACAATAAACCCAATGGTGCAAAGCACCCTCACTCAACTGACACAGAACAAAAGTTCTCTGCTCTCTGCTCTTGTTTGCTCCTTTGCTGGGTACATTGGTACTCGGTGGATCCCAGGATAAGTTACAATCCATTTTTATACAATCCTGTATAAAGATAAAATCCATAATATATATATATTTGATGCAATCCTGTATAAAAATCCGTTGAGATTTGTTTGGGTCAGGCAGGCGGTGAGTGTTGAGAGCTGGCTGCTCACACACAGGGTTTGAAGATGTGTGAATAATATCATTTACCATTGATGTGGGTTAAGGGCATCACCATATTCAAACTGATGGAAGAAGAGTTTTGTGCACACAAACCAGGCTGTCCTTTCTTCCTCTCTTCTCAGATTGTTTGATAGAGCAGCTATATTCACTGTATTCCATTTTAAAGAGTAGTTTATGTGCCAAAGCAGGTTTAATCACTGGCACTGCCAACCCTGCCTGTTTCCCTGCTCCATCACTACACTCTTCACTCTCAGCCATTTCTACAAAGCACATTTGTGATAGTTTTATTCTAGGCCTTCCTCTGTGACCAGTTTGTAATCAAAGAAGTGGCCATGTTCCCAACATTCCATATGATTTTTATGTAAGCTAGGGTATAAATAAGAAGGAGAGAGAAGCTCTTCTCCGTTCTCTTCTGGTGGATCTGAAGGCACAGGTTCTTTGCTGTCGGTCCTGCTCGTGTGGGGGAGTGAGGCCTAGTGAGGCCTAGTGAGGCCTAGTGAGGCCTAGTGAGGCCTAGTGAGGCCTTGTAGGCCTCGGGAGGCAGAGGGGGCCAGCGGTGCTTGGCGTGATTCTGCTGTCTCAAGGAGAGTAGTAAGATTTTCTTTTGCTAGTTCTTTATTGATTGTGCATACCTGCTTCGGGTTTCTTTTGTGGTTTTTGTCCCTTTTCCCTTTCCCTTCCCCTTTGGGGGGGGTTGTTTGGAGTTCTCTTTTTATATGTACATAGCGTTGTAACTGTATATAACTGTGATATATGTAAATATATATATTTTGCTATAGCTCGGTTAGTTTCTGGTCTTTCAGTTTGTATAGTTTTTTTTTCCTTTGCCCAAAGGGGAGGGGGAAGTTTTTGCTGTAGTCTGGGGGACTTGGCGTGAAGCCAACTCCAAATGGCTACATTTCTACCAAAGAAATCCATTTGCAGCTGAAACACAACAGGAAGCCTGCCCTGTGCTCCCCTGGTAAGCAGAAGTACCTGTTTTTCACATCATCAGATATATTAGTAAATACACCTATTCTTTATCAGTGTTTGTTAAACCTGCACTTAAACTGGGCCTTGCAACGGCAGAGAATTGCACGTTGGGTTTGTCATTAAGGGGGAGAGAAGGACCAAGCTTTCTCTGGAGGAGGAGCAAAGGAAAAGGAGGCTTTTTATTTTCCCAACACCTGCTGTTGCAATAAAGATGCAATGAAATGTTCCCTGGCCCTTACGATAGTCCTGACCAAAATGTGTTAAATCTGAAATTTATCCCGAAATTTGAGTGAGGGGAAATCTGAATTTCAAAGGTTGGACTTGATGACCTCAGAGATCTTTTCCAGCCTAGTTGATTCTGTGGTTCTGTAAATTCCTGCAATAATTTCAGCATATAATTTTTACATCCCGTTCTCTTCTAGTTCTAAACTGCCAGGAAATGTTGCTGTACTGCTCTGGCTGCTCATGGTTCCTACCAAAATAAAATCTCTGCTAACTTTGTTGATTATCATTTGTTCCTAAACAGCACCTAAACGGTGCTGGCTTTTACCCCATCAATAGTGGGGAGTTGTCTCTGCACAGTAGCTTGAGTTTTCCAAGTCTCTTTGCAAATAAGCAAGTAAATAAAAACATATGCCCTGGGTTACTGTCAATCTTACGTGGGAGCAAAAATGTTTTAAAAAATAATTTTTAAAGTATTTTTAAATTACTTTGATACATGGCAGGACAGTTACTGGGCATTTTTTTTTTTTTTTTTTTTTACTTTTAAACCACCCAGTTGTGTATTACCCAGAGGATCGTGTTCTGCACTGGCATAAAACAAAAATAGTTTTGCTCTCAAAGCTGAGATTTGGCACTTGGGGCACAATTCCCTCTCCAATCTGCAATGCAGATGCTGCTGCAGAGCACATTCCCAGGGCCTTCCCTGCACTCAGCTCTGCAAGGAAACTTCCCTGCCATCCATGGGAGCTCCTCACCACGGAACAGGCCAGGGAGAACAATACCCCCTGATTTATGGGGGATCAATGGCCAGGATGGGCAGAATCAATCCTGGGCAAAGGTTGGATTCATCCTGGGAAAACCATTTCAAGCTGGTTCTTCTGCACCCAGGACATTTTCTTGGAATAGCCACCTTCTGGTGGAGGAACTGGATTTGGGTGAGGGATAGCACAGCTCTGTGCCTTGTTTCCCTCCTCTGAGGTGATAACTCTGCAAACCCACTCCCTAAAATCTGCTCTTGGACCCAAATCCATGCTGTGTGTGCAGGAAGGGTTCATTTCCCCACAAGTGCAGCCTTAAAGATGTTTTATTCCTTCCACTGAATTTACCACTGTCCCTCCAACCCATCCCTTCTGTCACATGTGTAGGATAACGTGGAAAAATCCTACAGGGAGGAGACCCTGGGGATGAAGTGGAAAGGAATCCTTTTGGTGCCTCCCCCTGTGCAGGAAGGATGTGTTAAAGCAGCACCAGTTGCTGTTTCTTTGTGCCTTGAGGCGACACAAGCAGGATTTTCTCTTTAAATCACTGCTAATTAGAATGGATAAATCTAAGGAAATACTAGCAGTGAATATTAATTGAAATAACCTCCCAGATCTCACCTAGATGGTTCTTCAATTTTTGTTGTGGTTTGTTTGGTTTTTTTCTATAAAGTCATACAAATAAATTGATGTATCCTAAGAAAGAGTGAAACCCCAAAAAAGTCATGGACAGCAGGGAAAGTGTGTTTTGGTAGAAATTTCCAGCAGAAATATTTGTTCAGCCACATTGAAATCTATTTCCTTCTCCTCCCTAAAACACTGGATTTGTGAAAGACAGGGAGGAGAAGACAATCATCCAGCCTATACACAGGGCCAGGAGTTGGACTGGATGGTCCTGATGGGTCCCTTCCAGCTCAGCATATCCCAGGATTCTGTGATTCTGTTTTTCCATGCCAGATTTGGCAAATAATTGAAGATACAGGGTGACATTTTGAACAATAGTTTTTGTTAAGATGACACCTGAGCAGTCCTACTACAAATGGGAGGGGCTTGGACATGTTGGTTGTTTTAGAAAATGTTCCTTTAGTAGTTTTGAAATGTTATTTCTTCTGTTGAAAGGACTGAAGCTGATCCAGGAGAGCTCATGGAGCAAATCCACAGCACTCAGACTCTTTATGAACTACACAGAGAAGAAAAGGATAAACCCATGGAGGGAACTGGTGCTACAAATGGTGAGTTGCTTCTGTTTTTCCAAACTAAGATCTCTACAATTTTTGTTCTATAGGAAGAATGGGAAGACTCTCTTTGCATCTTGTTACTGGCCTACTACTTACATTTCTGTCTGACTGCTTAAAATTAATTTCCTTTGTAGAACAGTGTTAAATATGGTGTTAGATACACCTTTGTCTGGAATTTTGCTCTCTATAGAGATGTTATTTTTAAAATTTCTTGGATGAGACAAAAGGCCTTTTGGTTTAAGAGCTTCACTGGGTTTTGTGGTTTCTGTGCTGGGTTGCTCCTCTATAATTTATTTTTCATAACCTTGGGCAAGTCACTTCATACCTGCATTTCATTCAAACCCAAAGTGGGTGCCAAGGGCTGGAACCTGCCAGGGCTGACTCTGCCCTCTCCACAGGCTTGAGGAGGAGCCTCAGTGAGAAGGAAACCGAGACATTAATTAATGTCATTAATTGATATTGTCTATAAGATACAATGGGGCCAAATGATCAATATTGATTTAAATATGTGGGTTGTTCTAGAAGAGGAGGTGCTGTCTCCACATCAAAAGAGGTTCTGAGAGGCTCTGCTTTGCTTCCCTGATTTATGTGTTTTTAAGTGCATTATTGATCTTTTCCACTCAGTGGGAATGAAGGGATAAAATTATGCTTTTCAATTATAAAATAATACAAAATTATGCTTTTCAATTATAAAATGATACAAAAGGGAGCACGGTGATTTCAAATCTTTCCCTTCCTAAGGTGTAACCAACACCAAAGCCAGGACACATCTCAGGCTGTGGGCAAAGTTATCAGTCCCAGTGCCCCAAACCAGCTCGGAGGGGCCTTATCTGATCCCCCAGGACAGGCTGGGGAAGAAATGGGGTGGAAATCCTTGTCATCCAGGGCTGTTCCAGTGGGAGATTTCCCACCCCCTGCCTGTCATTACATGGGAAATCCCTGATGGAACCCCCAGCCCTGGCCAGCATTCCTTGGGCCAGGCCATGCCCTTTGGTGCTGGCCAAGTTTACAGGGGGAGGAGGAAGAGGAGGAGGATGAGCCGGTGGCTTTGAGACCCTTCAGTGCCCCCTGTGTTTGCTGGGCTGGGGAATTCGGCCAAGCTTCGGGCTCCTGTTTGCTCTCTGGCCAGAGCTGGGCTGTGTTTGGGGCACAGGGATCACGTTTCCTGGCTCTCCTGGCCCGGGATTGGTGTGCTGTCTGAAGACTGGGAGGGACAAGCCTGTGCTCCGAAGGCAGTTGGCACCAAAGTTTGCTCTATAAAAAGAATCCTGCAGTCAGGATCCAGTTTCCTACTCAGAGGCAAGGCAGGGTGTCGAGTCAGAAATTCCGACCCAGCGGGTCAGGAAGGATTCCAGGACATCCTGAATCACAGCTCCAGTGTGTTCCCTTCCCTTCACCCTCTGGCCCAGGGCCCGCTGGGATTACAACTCTGAACTATTTTATTCACTGCACCGTGTGCCTGGTGCTTGATGTGAATACACACTGTGTTTTCCAAGGGCTGGAAAGTTCATGTCTTAACTGGCCACTCTTGTTTCTCCTCTGCTTACTCTGCACTTGACCAGTTCCCCCCTTCCCATTAGAACATCTTTTTATCCCTAAAACACAGAAGACTCTGAACTCCACCCTAAACTGATGAAGATAATTCCTCTTGCTGTTTCCAGTGTCCTTGCTCATGGAATTCCACCTGTGAGCTATTTGGGTAGAGATTTTATTCCATACTTATTTTTAAAGTATTTTTTAATTATTTTGCAAAGGACACACAACTGCTTTTGTGGGCACATTTGTATTAGGAGCTTTTTTTCACCTGCCTTCCTGTGTGTGTGCTTGGCAACCTCGATGGAGAACAGGAAATATTTCTCATAGCTGTCACTCCCAAGTGGTGCTGACTCCCAAATATAAGGTCACAAAAATACACAAGAAACCATAAAATATATATATATATATACTGTGTAAAACACATGGCTCTGTGATTGAAAATTTCAAACCTGTCTGGAAAGAAAGCAAAATGTAAAATAAGGAAATCACTTGCAATGGAGAATCGCTTGAATTTGGTGAAATGGAGCCAGTAGGAAATACCTACCTGGGTGGTTTTACTGATCATTTATTGAATCCCATCCTCCTGGTTTTCTTCCCTCCAGGGGTCCCCTGACAATGGGATTTCTGCCTCCCCACCGTTCTGCAAGCAGCACATGCTGAGGGTGAGGCGTTCAAAGGTAAAGCTAAAGCTGTAATTAGCAAAGACAATAGACACCAAAAAAAAAGAAAAAGGAAGAAAATCTAAAAGGTGGAATAACGAGGTTAGAAGGGAAATTACCTTGCAATTGTAGCACAAAACTGTAGCACCTCGTAGGTGAGGGAAATTCCTGAGCTGAGCCGATTCCCTGGAGTTTCAGTGGTTCTGTGGATCAAAGGGACGCTTTTGCACAGAGCCTCTCGTGTCATTAGGGAAAGCAGTAGGTGGTAAAACAAGGCAAAATAAGTCTGTGCCTTAATCATTAGGCTTTAATAATTCTCCTTCTCTTTTGCCCAATGCATCTCTCACTCTGCACTCGCTGGACTATCATCAAAGCGAGGGTGGGGAACACCCAGCCCGGAACAGGCACCCTGTAATTTAGTTCTTGGGTCATTTCCATGGGAGATGCGGGTTTGAACCTCCTTGGGGAGCTGTCTCCACGTCCCTGCTCCTGCAGTAATAGGGGACATCACCCCAGCATCCAAAGGGAACATTTTCTAACAGGATGGCCCTTGGGTACCTAAACTGGAGGAGAATGTCCTGGGCTGGGGATCTGTGGGATCCAGTTGTGTCAGAGGGGAGCAGAGGTGGCCGGGGGTCAGCACGTTGTTCCTGAGCACCAGGAGAGTTAAACCTTGCTGAAGGAAGAGATTTCACACACACAGCCCCCCTTCAGGGGTCCCACTGGGCTGGGAGGGGACACTTTGTCTCCTGTGAGCATCTGCTGAGGACACAAAACTCTCCATGAGCACATGAGCCAGCCCTGGCCTGGGAGAGCAGGGCCCTCCCTGGGGCAGGGGGTGCAGCAGCCTCACTCCTCTGCAAATCTGTCCCTCAGCTCTTCCCCTGCCAGATTAACCCCTCTGGGAGCTCTCAGGTTCAGCCACACCATGGTGAGTCCACGCCATCACCTCCAGCTCTTGATTTTTCTCTACTTTTTGCTGAAAGATATGAAGTGATCAGGAATCCAGGACATATTATTCCAGGTTGACTTGGCACAAGCATAAAGGAAAGAGTGTTTGGATAACTGAGAATCTAGCTCTTATTTTTCCTTCTGGATCAAAAATCCAATGCCACACTGCAAAGACTATCCCAATTCCCTTCCCCTCCAAGGCAGGCTTCAAACTGAGAGTGAGCAGGGAATGTCAGGCTTCCCTTCCCTGCTTTTGCCCCAGCACATGCAGGTTATTTTAGATGATGATCCCTTTGCAGCAGAAACAATGAACTGTATGAATCAAACACGAAAACTGGAGCCTGGCAACAAAGGGGAGCGGGGAAACATTAAAGACAACGTGGTAATAACAGGCAGGGAGGAAAGGGAGAGATGGGGTAGGAGATAACAGGGTATGGCTGCAGCACACAAGCTAAGCAGGAAAAATGGGATGGGGAAAGGAATGTGGAAAAATGGAGAGGGAAAGATTGAGAAATCCATCTTGCCAGGTAAGCAGGCTGAGTCGTCTCACTTTGGGAAAAGGGAAGGTTGGAACTGTTGACTGACCTCTGATGAAATCTAGCAGGTATTTTCACATCTTACTAATAGGAGCAGAGTAATTGTATTGCATCATGGCCTGAGAAATGGATGTATTTTTTGGTGCTTTTTAGCTGAATGGCTGTTGGATTCATCCCTGCCCTTGAAGTGCAGTTTCTTTTATCTGAGGTCCTGTCATGGAGGGGGAGGAAAAGGTTCAGTGTCCAGCCCTTGGAGCATAATTCAGATTTCCTGGCCTGAGGCTCTCACAGAATTTGTTCAAGGAGCTGGAGCTGTGACCCAGCACACACAGCTCGTCTGGGCTTGGCTTGGGCCAATGTCCCTGGCCAGGTGGGGGTTTTTCCTTATTCTTATCCTCAGATCCGTGTCCAACAGATGTTTGCCGTGACCCCTGTGTGTATTCCAGACTTACAGCAGGCTGTGGGCTGGGGTGACCACACTACCAAACCCCAAAACCAGCCCGGGTTGTGCAGTGTTCCTGTGCTGAGGGATCACACGGAGAGCATTTGCTTCACGGGCAGTTCCACTGCACACCCTGAGCACCACTTTCCCATCGAGTGCTGCTTTCCTTTACTCCTCCTTTCCATCACATTTCCCTTGTCTTTGTTGTTTGTTTGGGCACACAATCTCCTACACAAGATGCTGTGAGGGACAGTCTTTTCTTCCTGCTGAGCCTGAAGGCACAGTGTGGCTGCCCTGATGGGAGAACCTTGGGACCCTCACACCGGTTTTCCCTGGGCTGGAGGAGCAAACCCCAAACCTTGAGCTGCTCCACGTTCCCCTCCTGCCATCCCCAAACCTCCTCAAATTCATACCGTGTGGTGTCATCTCACAGACTCTGCCAGTGAATGCAAATGGCATAAAGAGCATGTGGAACAGATGGAACGAGACAAGCACGTAAAGAATTGAAGTATTTGTGAGGGAATTTGGCAGGGATGCTGGAATGCTTCAAGCACTGTGTACGGGGGTGGAGGGAGCCCAGGATGAGTTGTGGGGGCCTGTGTGCTGGTGATCCATTTCTCTCAGAAACAATATGTGACCTATTTCTGTAATGGTGCTAAACATAGCAACAAATATTCCCTCCTTCCCACCTTCCTTCGGGAAGCTTGGCAGCTCCTGTAGCTGGAGAAAACATTTCCTTGAGGGAGAGCTGTGAGTTGCTTGATTTTTCCAGGGAAATATTAGGTTAAATTAAATCAAGTCAGATTGAACGAAAGAGAGCAAAGACAAAAAGGAAGGCCTGGGTGGGAATGGGGGGTTACAGACAGGGACAGTGCAGGTCACCAGTGCAGAAATGTTGCACTAATGCAGGTGTTAAATCTACTGATGTGAAATGACTGAGGGTTTTCATTTTAAAATGGCTTATTCGGTTATTTTTGAAGTGACTTTTTAGGAGATTTTATACACACAAAGAGTGAGGTTTTTTGAGTGGCTCGTCAAATTTGAGAAAAAAAACCCCAAAACCCAAGATGAAATTTTATGTAGGCTTGACAAAGAAAAACCTCTGGAGAAATGGAATAAAAAGCAATAACCTTTTCATTGGAAGGTACATCTGGAAGTTCACAGTCATGGCTTGGAGTGGCTCTGAGCAGGGAGCTCCCTGATGTGCTCCACGCCAGGGGTGCCACATTCCCAGCGGGCAGGGTGACATCCCACTCCTCAGTCCCATCCTGGGACCTTCAGCCTCTCTTTCACAGGGAAGGGGGAGATTTAGGATTTAGGGAGCCCTAAATCTGTGCATAAAAGTGTTCACTGCTCAAAGAAAACATCCCCACTCAGAGCTGTGAAAGGGAGCTTTCCCTCCAGCCACGGGCAGAAGCAGAAATATGGATTATAGAGGTTTGGGAGGGAAGGAGTGACACTGCTCTGAGCAGTGCAGACCAGCAGCTCAGGAGAGCTGACACCTGATGGTGCTCAGCAAAGCCCTGCCACAGCTTCTCGTGGTGCTGCTGGGCTTTAAAGGAGCCCCCAGCCAGGGAGTTTGCCCGGAAAGAAATCCTGAAACAACCACGTGAATAGAAGAGACAAGGCAGGTTTCCCTTGATAATCATAAAGGGCTCAAATTACCTTCCTTTCCATCCCCAAAGGGGGCATAAATACTTCATTTATGAGATTGTTTGCGCATGACTAATCTATTTCTACTTGCTAATTGTAATGACTAATGTGTGTTACAAGACAAATATTAGCTTGTAATAATACCTGAACACCGAGATTTATAAGTGTTAAGCAAAAATACAAATAATTAGCAAAAGCTGGCTGGCATTATCTTCTAATTAAGTGTAAAGACACTTTTATTTGAGAGCAAAAGCCTGAAGATCCCTCAAGAAGCTGTAGGAATAACTGGGCCACACTACAGTCCTGATAAAGGGGCAGGAGTCAGGTAATGTTTGATTTTCCTGGGAGCTGAATTCAGCCATCCTTCCCCCACTGACGTCAGGGCAAGAAAAGCACTTTGGGCCTGTCCCTGCCTGCTGAGCCCATATGTCCACTGGGAAGAGATTGGCAGAGATCCCTGAGGAGAAGTAATTACAGGAGACAGGAGCAGTCCAGCACCGAGGGGGAGTTATTTCTGCACTGCCCAGGTAAGTGCCCTGTGCTGCTCAGAGGGAAAGGGCTCGGCCAAGCCCTGGGTGTGATGCACAAATACCCTTTTGGCTTGGGCTGTGCTGCTTTGTTTAGGTAGAACATGAAATTTTTGCTTCATTAAAAGTGAGTTCTCTTTAAGTAAAGTGCAACATCTCCTCATTCCATATTATAGAAAATATCTCTGGGGTTTTTTTTGAGTTATCAACCCCAAACAAACGGAGGTACACTCCATGCCAGGGAACACATCTAGCAAAGTGATTGTCCAGCTGTTTCAGTGTGAATTTTGAGTACAGGTCAAAGCTCCACGGCTCACATTGTAGTTGAAAACTGAATTTAAAGGAACACCACTGGCTTTGGTGCCTCCTGGATGCCCTCTGAGTCCTCCCAGGCCACCACCTCCAGTGGGGTGAACCCTCATTGCCCAAGAGGCACGACTGGAGCATTGACTCCCACCTTGTTCCAGACTGTCCTTGGTGGAAAATGAGCTGCTTAATCCCAGGCTGGAGGCCGAGAACAGCCCAGCATGTGTGAGGAGAGAACGTGACCTCAAGGAGCAGCTTGTGACAGAAGCGAGTGTGACTCTGTGACACAGTGTCTCAAACTTGGTGGAGGTTGGCTCCAAAGGCGCAGATCAGCTCCACAGTTAAAAATTGGATTTGGGCTCATAAATGGTGTCGTTACTTCAAAAATAGTACTCTGGAGTTCCTTGTTGTGCTAACACTGTAATCCTTCACTTGACATCTCTGAGCAGCACCCGAAATATTTGACCTGTGTCACAGACAGGCATCCAGAGGACTTGCCTAAAACCACAGGGTGAGCTGAGGGCGGTGCTAGAAATGATCCCCAGCTCCCATCCTCCCGAATCCTTTATTCAGTTTTTTGATACCTTTCAAGTTTTCAGTGTTCTCACACGTGGTTGCAGTGTTGCAGACTGGGAGATGGGGTGGTGTCAGACACCAGATCAGTGATTGTGGGGTCAGAACCACCTTGGGGGGTGTGTGTGGACATGTGAGAGCTGGTCTTCTACAAGTTCCAGTGGTAGCTCTGTGATCTGTCTTTCCTTATTCCTCCTTCTCTCTTCTCTCTGCTTCTCTTTCTCTGCTCCCTTCTGGATGCTTTGGGTGGCTTGGAGCTGGAAGGGTTGGATTTTGACTTGAGTGTTGTGGATAGATTGGATCCCAAGTGTTGTGGGTTAACATGTGCTCAGTTGGTATCGTAGTGGAACATTTTGTCCGGGCTGTGCAGTGCCCTTTTTGAACTTTGGCCAAGTTCCCTTATTTTCTCCCCTAAATTAATCAAGAAACCCCTTGGGAACAAGCCCGTGGGTTATCCTCTTGGTGCTCTCTTGAGGTATTAAAGAGCCCTATAAATATATTAAAGTAAAACCTCCTGGCTGAGCCCGTGAGCTGCAGCTCCTGGGGCTGGAGTGTTGCAGAAGGGGAGGGTCCCCTCTGGAGGTACCACAGGGGGGGGTGGGTGTGACCCTCCAGTCCCAAAGAACTCCAGCAGAACGGGAATGTGCTCATCCTGCAGCTCAGAGGTCTGATCCAGCCGAATCTTAGTAACTATTTCGTGTATTTACAACATAAAAAACCCCAACAAATCAATGCTTTGCCTGCATTCACCACACTGGCTCGATATTGAGACCAAACTAGAGGTTCAGTAGAATTACTGCTCCTGAGTTTCTGGTTTTACTCAAACTTTACATCTCTGATTTTAGTTCAGATTTTACACAACCGTATTCCAAATACCGATTTGGAACACCAACTGTGTTTTGTCAAAATACTGTATTATCCTGGAGTTCCAGAACAGAATATAAAGTGCTGGGACTTGTAGCTTTGTCAATCATTTAAAAAAGATTCTCTGTCAGCAGCGCTCACTTTTCCTCTAACTGAAAAAAGCAACCCCATTTCAGAGTAAGTTTGTGTCCATCGAGCCCCAAATCAACAAGTACAAACACTGCCCGTTTCCTGATCTGAGGGGAAGGGTTTGTTTAACTCAGCATAAATTGGTCTTTGCCCATTTTAGGTCTGGGTGCCAGAAAACTGAAGGTCAGCCTTGGTTGGACTGGAGCAGGATCACCTGTGACTTCAGGAAATATCAGATTATCCCCTCTTGGACCAGGTGGGAGGCAGGGACACCCTGTGGCCAGGTCAGTGTTACTCTTTCCATCTTGCTTTTAATTTTAATTTTTCTTCTGCATAAAAGCCCAAAGATTCTCAGCAAAACCCCTCAGCTGAGTTGGTGTGTGGGCATTTTGTGTCTCAGACGAGGCCAAGAGGCTTCAGGCTCCATAGGGGAAAAAAATAAATATCCCTGTGTAATTCCTTTCTTCGTGTGTCAAGCAAAGACAAGCATTTCAGCTTCTTCCTGAAATGAGTGTCAGAAAAATCCCAAAAAGCAACATTCACTGGGCTGCAGGGGAACAGAAGGCTGAGCAGATATCTCTGAGCTGAAAGATAGGTTCCCTTTAAACAAACATTTCAAGGCATGGCCAGTTCCTTGGGTGATCACCAAAGCAGTTGATTAAATTAAAAGCAGCTGAAATATTTTATTATATGTGAGTATAACTTCTTATAAGGCAAATATTTTAAATTTTTGGGAGAAGGAGGGCTGGCAAAATAGGATTTGCTCTGTTAATTCCATTTAAAATTTAAATTTTAAACGTTAAAATCTGAGAGAAAGGGGTTGTTTCATTAAATGGGGCATGGAAACAGGGATGTCAACACAGGGCATCCATGGAAGTAATTCCTTTATTCCTTCTCCTAATTTTCAGGGAGAGCTTTCAGCACAACGTTTATCTGCAGTTGATGGATCACTGAGCGCTCACAGCTGAGGGAAAACGAACATCAAAGATCTCCAGTGAATTATTTTAATGGTTGGATCTTTACCAGGGCGAGCTTCGCCTTTTGTGTGTTTTGTTTGCCCCAGAACCCGGTTCCTGGATGTTCTGAAGGCAGAGCTGAGCCCTGGCCGAGGCTCTGCTTTGATTTCCAGCTCTCAGAGCTGAGCTGTGAGTGAACCTGACAGCTCTGTGGCCGAAGGGGAGTCCTGATTCCGAGGTTCCACAACAAAAGGGCCTTAATGAGGTCAGAGTGGAAGCAGAATGTAAATCAGGACATTTCTTATTCAATCCCGTTGTTACTGATGAGCCTCCACGACCCCAGCTCAGAGCGGGGCGGGGAGAGGCAAAGACAGAAGCAAGAACAGGCATAAACTGGGAATAATATAGTAATTATTCCACATCTGGAAATGTGGGGGGAATGCACAGGCATCACCTCTGCCCTCTGGCCAGCACACCTGAGGCTGGGCAGCTCCTTTGGTCTTCAGGGGAGGTATTTTTAAGGGAATGAGTGTGAACCTCAATCCCTCTTTAAATGGTGAAGTCCAAGGCAATGGCATCTGCCTGAGACTCTTTGCTGTGCATGCCATGAATGCTGGTGCAGCTCAGGATGCAGCAGAGCCAGGACCTGCTCAGTGTCCCTTTACAACACAACTCGATGGACAAAATGTGGGGGCACAACAATAAGATCTGCTTTTCATGGCAAGAAGAGTAAATCCAGAGAGGAAAATCGGTCAGTTCAAGTTCAGTGGTGTCTGTAAGGACCTGAGGGTGAATGGTGGGGGGGTGTGCCACGAAATATTACAATTATCCCTTGCAGAGAACCTGCACAGTGCTTGCTAAAGGCCTGAAGTCCCAGAGCTGTTGTCTGGAAGGGTTTGTCCCCTCTTTTCAGACCGTGGGAGCTGTTTCCACCTGGGAATATTTGAAGGAGGGAGAGTTGGAAGGTAACAGAAGGTAAAGAGCTGTGTCAGTCCAGGCTCTGATGTGGTCAGTGATCACACACCTGAGCCGTGGCTTTTATTCATCTTTTTTTTTTTGGTACAGAACTCGAGCATGATTTTAAAAAAAAAATCCCGAAGATTTCTTAGGACTTACAAGAAAAACTTTACCTTATCTTTTCCTGCTACAGGAAAATAAAATGATTTTTAAAATTACCAAAAAAAAGAGAAATATTTGGAATGATCTACTTCATTTTCCCTTTCTTTTCCTGCACTTTGTCTACAAAGGCCATACTGTCCCTGGCAGGTTTTTGGGGTTTTTTTTTATGTTTTAATTTTAAGCTGCAGAGTAAACCTTGTAAGTTTGGCAGGAGAAGTCCTTATAGATTTCAGGGCAATATTTTGCAATTCTTGTTTTTGCAGCTATAAACACCTTCCAGTGCCAAGGGGGAAGAGGATTTTAATCCAGATAAAATAAGATTCTTAAACACTGAAAACTGTACTGGGATTTATGGGCCAATTTGAATATTTGAGCTCCCGTGCCAAAAGCTGCACATTCCACATGTTGCCTGACTGGCTCATTCCAAGCTGCATCACCCATCCAGAGTTACCCTGCAATCCATTCCAACAAGTAAACTTGGAGTTTTGTTCTCAGAATGTCTTCACCAAATGTTATTTCCATATTTGCTTTGCCTTTTACTCGGAAATCTTTTCATTTTGTTGGTTTTTTTTTTTTCTCCTGTAGTATTTTTATCCCGCATCTTATTTAACACCTTTTAATAAGCTGAATTCTTACCAAGCGAGCACAACAACATCTGAAAGATGAAATCTCTCTCTTTGATGGTATGAAACCATGACCCAACAGGCCCATCCCCTGCCTGGAGGGCTGGTGGGAGCTTCATGTGAGATTATTAAATCCTTCAGAAAGTCAGGTATGTTTATTCGTAATTCGGGGTATCTCGCCAACATCACAATCCTTTCCTCCTTTGAGCGCAAAAATGATTTACAATTAAAAAAGTATTTGCCATTTTGCTCTGCCTAAAACCACGCTCCCCTTTTATTCCTGAGTAGTTTCACTTGTCATTTGCTTCTTTCTGTTTTTCCAGGCGGCTCATTTGCTTTGGTTCTGCAGAACATTGAGATGAGAATTTGCAGTGGTGTCTCTCAGAAACCAAAAGACGAGCTGGGGCACAAAACTGCTCCTCATTTCCACTCACAACTCCCTTCCTCTGCCTTCCTTGCAGGCCCTTTCTGGCCAGTTCTCTCTGCTGAGACTCATCCCCCTTGCACTGAAGTTCCCAAAGGCCTCTGTGACACCCAGACCATTCTCATTCTTTCCTTAAAAAAAACAAGTGAAAACTTGTTCACAAGGATGGTGATTTGACAGTCAAATGGGTCGTCGTACGTGGGACTGCCTGCAGCTCGAGTTTTTAATCTTATCACTGTTTTCAACAACTTCTATTTTTTAGCATTGCATATGCTTTAAAGTAACAGTTTGCATTTTGCTCCTTGCCTCGTCCCTGCCAGTTATACCTGAAATGTCATCTAAATATCACCGTGGTGGAGGGAAGGAACCAATCTACTCTGCTCCTGAGCTGTTTCCTCCGCTCCTTCCATCCAAAGCCACGTTTCCAGAGATGTTCCTTGCCTTTTCTCCAATTCCTTGCTGGCAATTTAAACTTCACACAGCCCAGTTTTGCCAGTCTTTTTTCCTGGCTTCCTCACACTTCCATCACTAGCAAAGGCACCCTGGGATTGCTCAACGAGTTGGGCACATTGGCTCCTTCTTTTCTCTCCCTGTTCATCCCTCTGTCCATCCCACTCCTCACCACTCTCACTCAGCTCCTGCTCCTCCACCCAGAACAGTGAGAGACGATCTTTTCTCTTCCTAGACATTTAAACATTGTCTATCTCCTCTTCCCTGCCACTGCTTTCTTTCCTGCCTCCCTTCTATCTTTTACAATCCAGAGAACAAGATAATTTGTCTGGTTTTTGATAAGAATACAGGAGCACATTTGCTCCACCAGAGTCAGCTTAAAAGTCTCCTTCTTGTCGTTGTGACTCCACTGTTAACTCCACTTTTCCCTTTCCTAATGACATGACCCTGGGTTAATCCGAGTCCTCTGCAGCAGTTTGCAGATTCCTTTCAACATTATCTTGTAGGTGGAAAAACTTCCCCCAAATTGGCTTTCCAGGTCATTAATCTTCCCCCTTTATAGGGGCTCTTAGTACAGTATTCAAGCAAATAGTATCATTTTCAGGGACTTCCCTGTGTGTAACCCTCAGGAGGGGGGTGGAAACGTTGGCCTCTGCCCTGGGTGTGCTTTCCTGAGCCCCCCAGTCCCAACCCCGAGCAGTGGTGCCCCGTGGGAAGTGTTTCCATGTAAATCAGCAACATCACTGAGGCAACTGGAGGTATTTATTTGTGGCAGGCCTTTGGGAAGCCCCTGCAGCACAACCACTGCTGGCCATGGCTTTCCTTCATCCTGGAAAAGGAGATCCCAGCAGACTGTCCCAGGACAACGTCCCTGCCCACTGGGAACACTGGGAAATCTCCGAGGTTTGGGGTCACACGGGCTGGCTTTGACCTGCCTTTGTGCACTGAGTACTCTCTATTATTATTATTTATTACATTATTATTATTATAATGTTTAAAATATCCTTGGTTTCTACAGCTACTCCCACAGTAGAGATGGCTGTAAACAGACCATGTGGATTCACCCTGGATATTTATGGAGAATCATGGGAGCAGGGATGGCTGATCCACACACCACACTCTGATCCCTGGCAGGGCTTGAACTATGTGGACAAACTGCTCTACAAACAAACCCTTTACTGAGGTATTTAATTTCCTCTTTGAACTGCCCATCCCTTCAGAAAATCAATATATTGTTCGAAAACTCAAATAATTTTTTATCTTTACTAGGAAAAAATAAACCTGCTAATGCAGCCACTCCTGTGCCTTAATAAAATTAAAATTAAAATGTTGGTTTACAGGCAATCTGGAGATTATCAGTGTTTTAAAAAAAGAGCTATTGAGTATGGGTTTGATGTGTGAAATTTTTTTACTATTTTTATGTTAAAATTAGATGTTGTTAATTAAGCCAGTAAACTAGTGTAGTTGTTTTGGGAGGTTTTTTTCCTCTTAGGTCTTCAGTTTGTGGAAGAAAAAGTTTTTGGTTTAAAATCAAAATAATTTAGAGTTCTTATTTATAAATACTTAGGGGGAAAAAAAAAGAAAGTACTGGATTAATTAAAAAACACTTAAAAATTAGTGTAATCTCATAAAAAGTGGACAGTGAGGCCAGTGGGAACACACCTGAAATGAGGCTTTGCATCATAAAAAACCTACATAAATCGTGGTCCAAGAACTAAAATGCTTTGAGTTTTAATAATTGTCAATGAACTTGCTCACTTGAGTAGAATTTAAGAGCAACCCAAGAGCAGGAGGGAAACAAAATTATTTTATTTTTTGCTTTTTAATCTGTAGAAGAGTTAGAGACTGTTTTCTTGCTTTATATTCAGAGTTTGGGTTTCATACTCTCCCCATCCTGTCCTTTCCATTTCTGGGTGTTGCAGGCAACTGGAAACAGAGAAAACAGTAGAAATGACACTTAGACACAAGACAATAATTATTTATACTGCAACAGCTGGAATTTGTGCTAGTGAGTAACCAGAATGCCTGACTCAAAGGCATGGAAAAGCGTGTTTTCCCCAGGAACGGGTTGCCTTGGACATGGAATGTCAAACACTGCTGCTTTCTGACTCTGACAGCGCCTGGCTGAGCTCCAGGTCTGCTCCCGGCGCGAGAAGGGCCCAACTCTCCACGCTCGGGATCGGGAGAGCCCTGGTTGAACCTCGTGTTCCTCCAGGAAAAACTTGGATGTGCAGCAAAGCGCTCGTGCTTTGGGGCAAAATGGAGCAAATAAAGCCCCGCTGCAGCTCTGCTGTGCCCTCCTGGCACCTCTGGCTCTTCCCCCGCGTTCAGTTCGAAGCATAAGCAGCACCTGCTGGTGGAAACAAAGCCTGCTGAGCCATCCTCCTGGAAGAACAGGTTTGGTCATCACTGGGAGCTCTGGGTGAGTTGTCCCAGAGTTAAATAAGCTGGGCTATCCCTATTTGGGCTAATTTTGTCAGGGCTCCTTCCCTGCTGCTCGTCAGCTCTGTGTGGTGAGGGTGAGGTGGGACCCAGCTGATCTCCAGGGGCCTGGGGACTCCTTTCTGTGGCCGAGCTGTGGAGCTGCAAATTAACACAGTGACAGGATTAGTGAAGACATTCCCGTGTCTTCCCACGGTGCAAAAATGGTTATTTTGCTAAAGCTGAAACCCCAGTGTTGCTGTTCATGGTCACTGATTGATCTTTGAAAAGGAGGAGAAGAAAACAGGGAGTAAAACTCGAATGCCCTGAGCTGGGAAACACGTTCCTCCACATACCACCTTGGATAATTGTGCACGAGGAAGTGTCACTCCTGTGATATCTGTAAGGGGGACAATTTCTGCTTGAAGCAGCACAGCTGTCAGAAGACAGCAAGGGAACTTTCCCAGTTTGGTCCTGGGAAGTGAAGGATTAGACTGTGATGATTTCCCTTGCCTGTGATAACTGAATGTAATATCAAGTCAAGCACCTGGCAAAGTGCTTAAAGAGATGTTATCTTTTTTCAGTTTAAAACCAAAATGGAGCTGGCAGTGCAGGGATGTGGTCAAATTGTGTGACCAGCAGCATTTCCAAAATGTAAGCAACAACTGTTCAACTTCAGAACATTGACACAATATAGGGAATTTAGTTATAGTAAACGATTTTTAAATTAAAAGAGGGGATATTGAGATTAGATGGTAGGAGGAAATTGTTTATGGTGAGGGTGGGGAGGCCCTGGCACAGGTTACCCAGAGAAGCTGTGGCTGCCCCTGGATCCCTGGAAGTGTCCAAGGCCAGGTTGGATGGGGATTGGAGCAACCTGGGCTAGTGGGAGATGTCCCTGCCCATGACAGGGATTGGGACTGGATGGGCTTTAATGTCCCTTCCAACCCAAACCATTCCATGATTCTATAATTTTTAGTTTACAAAGCAGTTAACATTCACAAGACTACAGAAAAATGGCCTAAGCAGCACAGTGTGGGTATATTAACATTTCTCCTCCTGAAAACGAATCTGAATCCTGTGTTAGACCCCACATTTTCCTGAGAAAATCAAGCAGAATAACTCATCTCTACTTGGAAGGTCCAGAAGAGGAACTGTGCTGACTGGAAACACCATTTGGAGGGTGAGCAGCACGTGGAAAAATCAGGAATTCTGCGGTGTCTAATCGTGCACAGCATTTCCCTGGATAAGTAACACTATGATTCTCAATCCCGAAACGCTTCTATAATAAGAAAATAATTTCTTTCCTGTTAAGGGATGTTCTTTTATTCCAGAAATAGAATGGCCCCTCCATCAAAGGGTTGGCTGTGCCCTGGGCCCCGTGCAGAGATGGGCCAGGGGGGCCGGGGCTGCAGTGGAGTTACAAAGAGCTGCACTATTTTAACGCGGAAGGATGTGGTTTGGGGTTGGTTAATACACGCTGCTTGACATATTTACAAGTGTCAGATTGTGTTCTCTGTTTACAAGAGCGGTGCCAAAAGGAAGGGGAGTAATGTAGCCCAAAGTGCTTCCCCGATTCCCGGTGCCAGGATGTAACAAGGGATTTCACTTTGACCGAGTAACTCGCGACGGTAACGGAACGTGGGTACTTTGTGTCTGGAAACGCTGCTCCTCTCAGTGCAGGCCCAGTCCTTGTGGGACAGAATTCCTGGTCGGTGTAGCAGTGAGGGGTTGGGATGGATGACAGGTTGGATTTGTCAGAGGAAGGACACTCATGGTAAGAACACTGCTCTGGCTGGAAATCTTTTGGCCTAAATTCTCTCTCACTCCATGTACGTAATTTGGGTAAGTGCCTGTTTGTGTGAGAGATTTGTGACCATGAGGTAAGTCCAAACCAACTCCATTCAGCCTTTACAATAGATGCTAATCTTAATTTATTGCCAAGACAAGTAAATTGCAAAAAAAGACGCCTAAATGAGATTAAAATCACGATAAGGAAAGCTGCCACTGAGCACAGAGTGAGAACTTTTTCCGCTGAATCAGATCATTGAAAACGTGCTGCTACTTTTCTGTATTAAAGCTCAAGATGAATTGCTTAAATATCTTCATCTTTTAAGCAGCAATATTTGCTTTCTACACCTGTGGAACTCTGGTGTCAGGGAGAAGCTCAGGCAGGTGAGCTTTAATCTGCTCCCGCTGGTTCGAATCAAAGGGTCATTACGAACAGCGAAAAAACTATTTGTGATGAATTTTCTATTTTAAACAAAGTATTTATTGTTTATTTTATGTATAGCCATCCTTCTGTGACTATCAGGAATGAATTTCATTTATTTATTTAACTCAGGTATTTTCGAGTTCCTTTTTATAAAGGAATAACAACACCCAAAGCCTTTACGGGTGAGCGCGGGGCAGCTCCGGGTTAAACTCGGCTCGGAAGGGCAGCTCGGGGGTGCCCTGAATCGGCTGTGGCCATGAGCAAGTTTTGAGACTGGTTTTAAACTACTTTGAGCACTCGCAGGTGCTGGGGGGGACCCGCCGGGACCGGGGTCAGGGTCGGCCCCGAGCGACTTCTGTTCCCCCCGTGTCCCGCCGGGAGCGGGCTGGGGGAGCCCCGGGGCCGCCGCACCCCCACCGGGAACGTTTGTCCCCGTGCCACAGAATCCCAGAATATCCTGAGCTGGAAGGGACCCACAGGATCGTCCAGTCCAACCCCTGGCCCTGCCCAGACACCCCAACAATCACAGTCTGTCCCTGAGAGCGTTGTCCAAACCCTCCTGGAGCTCTGGCAGCCTTGAGGCCGTGCCCACTGCCCTGGGGAGCCTGGTCAGTGCCAACCACCCTCTGGGGGAAGAACCTTTCCCTGAGATCCAACCTGACCCTCCCCTGACACAGCTCCAGCCGTTCCCTGGGTGCTGTCCCTGCTGGCACAGGGAGCAGAGATCCCGTGCCGGGACGCGGCGGGAGGGACAAGCTCCCCGTGCCCCCCGTGCCGAGGGGCAGGATGCGGGGACTCCCGATCCCCTCCTCGCAGCTTCACCGCCGTGCCGAGGGGCGGGACAGGGGACACGGGATCCCCTCCCCGCAGCCCCCTCACCGTTTCCCCCACGCCAAGGGGCGGGACAGGGGACCCTCAGCCCCCTGTTCGCAGCCTCCTCCCCGTTCCAGGGGCGGGACAGAGGATACGGGACAAGCGACCCCCGCTCCCTTCCCACATCCCCTCCCGTTCCAGGGACGGGACAGGGGACACGAGACAGGGGATCCCCGTTCCCCTCCCCATGCCAAGATGTGGGACAGGGGACCCCCGATCCTCTCCCCGTTCCAGAGGCGGGACGGGGGACCCCCTCCCTGTCACTCCCTCTTCGCATCCCCCTCCCGTTCCAGGGGCGGCACACAGGATCCCCATCCCCTCCCTCATCCCGTCCCACTCCAGAGGCGGGTCAGGGGACACGGGACAGGGGAACTCCTCTCCCCTCCCTCATCCCTCCCGTTCCAGCGGCGGGAGAGGGGACAAGGGATCCTCTCTCCCCTCCCTGCTCCCCTCTCGTTCCAGCGGCGGGATACGGGACCCTATCCCCTCCCTCATCCCTCCCATTCCAGGAGCGGCACACAAGACCCCCATCCCCTCCCCTCCCATTCCAGGGTCGGCACACGGACCCCCATCCCCTCCCCTCCCATTCCAGGGTCGGCACACGGCACCCCCCTCCCCTCCCCTCCCCTCCCCTCCCGTCCCGCTCCACGGGCTCCCCCCGCCCCGTCCCGCTCTCGAGCGCCCCCCGCGGCCGGGCGGGCGCAGCGCAGGTCGCTGCCCCTCGGCCGTGGCCCCGCCCCCGCCGCCCGCGTCACGTGCCCGCGCCGGGCCAATGGCGCGGCGCGGTGCGGGCCCGGGCGCCATTGCTGTCAGAGCGCAGGAGGCAGAGCGGGCGCGGGGCTGCGGCCGCCGCGGCACGGCCGGCACCGCGCGGGGCTCAGCGGGGCTCAGCGGGGCTCGGCCCGCCCGCTCCCGCACCCTCGCACCGCGCCCGCCGCAGCGCGAGCGGGACCACCGCCACCACCAGCAGCAGCAGCAGGAGGAGGAAAGCACCGTCCGCGCACAGCCAGCGGCGGCAGCAGCGAGGGGCGGCCGGGCGGGGCGGGGAGGGGACACAGCGCCCCCCGCCCGCCGCCGCCGCCGCCTCACGGGGCCGGCACCGGGACCCCCGCCCGCCCCGCGTCCCGCACGGACCCACCGCCCTCCGCGCCGCCCCCGCCCGGGGGGGGCCGCACCTGGACGCGGAAGGGCGGCCCCGGGCCCCCCCCGCCGCCGCTGCTCCTCCTCCGCCGCTGCTCCCCCCGGCCCCGGGGAGAGGGGGCCGCGCCCGCCCGTGCGCGCAGCGGAGCGGGGCCCCCCCGGCTGAGGATTACCGAGGGCGGGTAACGAGGAGCAGCGCCCCGAGCCCGGCGCCGCCGCGTCCCCTCCCGGCCGCGGAGCCCCGCGGGGCCGAGGGGCCGGAGCGCGGCGGCCGCCCCGGGCAGGGCCGGGGGTCGCGCCGGGGGCCGCCCGCCTCGCCCCGAGCCCCCCGGGCCGCCCCGCCAGACATGCCCCGCCGTGGCGGCCCGGCTCGCCGAGGATCATGACTGCGGCGGCGAACTGGGTGGCGAACGGGGCCAGCCTGGAGGACTGTCACTCCAACCTCTTCTCGCTGGTGAGTGCCCGTGTGAGCGGGCGGGGGGCGCTGGGCGGGTGCCCGGGGTGGCTCCGAGCCGGGTTTGCCGGCTGGGTGACGCTGCCGGGGGTTTATAGGCAGGGCCCGGGGCTGCTCCCGCGCTGGCCCCTCCCCCGGCCCGCTGCCCGTGTTTATTTTGCTCGGTAACTCGCGTGTCCCGCTCGCCGCCGGGGCCGCGCCGGGGCTGGGGGTGTCCCCGCTCCCCCGGGGCACGGCGGCGGGCACGGCGGCTCCTCCCCTGGCACCCCGAGCCCCGGGCGCTTTGTGCCGCCGAGCCGGGGGGGTTCTCTCTCCTCTCACAATGACAAACGCCATTTCAGCGGCGGCGAACGCTCATGGAGTGTGATCGCCTGTCGGACGCAGCTCTGGGCTCCGGTGACGGCGTGTCAGCTGTTGTTACAGCCTGCTCTGCTCTCTGCCTCTATCGCGCTCGGGGGCAGGAGGTTAAAAAAAAAAAAAAATCCAAACCAAACAACCGAACAGACCCGAACCTTTTAATTTTTTTCTTCTCTGCGGAAAAAGCAGTGGCTGACAGCGTAGTGTGTCGGGTTGTTTGCAGAGATGCTGCCTGCCCGTCTCTCTGGGAGCTGACAACTTCCGACGTGGATTTAACGCTGCAGAAATCGCGGTATCGGTTTTGAGACAGGCTGGCAATTTAAATTTAAAACGTAAATTTGTTTGTGCAAGGGCGCAGAGTCGTTTGGAAATACGTTGCTTTATTTTACCTGGCACACACAGCAACATTATCCCTTCTGGCTGGGCAACAGCTGAGCGGTGTTGGATCATCGGGAGCCTTCTGGCGCTACAGGGATAATGTCGGAGGGGAGGAGGGACCTCTTTGGTGCGCGGTGTGCTGGAGTTAAAACCTTGTGATGCAACTTTGGGGGCAGCACGTGTGAGAGGTTTGTGGTGGGTGCCCCCGCCCCGCATCAGAGCTCTGCCAGAATTCGAGGTGGGTGTGCGTGTGCTGTGCCTTTTCTGATAGGAAAGAGGAGACTGCTTTTAGCTCCCTTATAAAAATTGAGAGGGGGGGGAAAAAGAGAGGAAAGTAATTAAAAATGCAGATGATCAAGCTCTTTGTTTTATGCTTTTTAACTTTATGGAAGTATGTTATCGTGTCTGTTTTGTTTTTTTTTTTTAAATCTATGCATGTTTGGCGTTTTTTTGCTCATTCCTTCTAAGAATCTGGAGCAAGAGCCGTAGCTGGAAAACCCGGAGATTGCTGTGTGAGAATAGACACAATTCTTACTTTGGCTGGTTACTGACTGTTACGTTATGTAAGTTTGTCTCCGCGCCTCTGAGGGCGTTCTGTAATATTTATAAATATGTAGCAGCGCCGAGTGTATCGAGACGCAGGAACGGTGATTTGGGGGATTGTTACTGTGATTTCCACTACGCTGCTCTTACCCAGCGAGGAAAATAAAGCGGGAAGCACGGAGGGAACAATCGGGGGTGACTGTGGGAGTCCCCGGTCGTTAATGCAGCCCGGAGTGTGTGTGTGGAGAGGCAGAACTGGCTGCTGGAGTTGCAATCTGCGGATCTGTCACTGGGAAAAATAATTGTTGGCATGCCATTAGCATAAATTATAAAGTGAAGCTATTTCCTACTTATTGTGGTTCGCTTGCCTTTTTTTTTTTTTTTCCTCCCTCCCACCTGACTAGAGCAGGGAAATGTTCAATTTGGAATGAGTGTGTGATATCACTGAAAGAAGTTTAACGAACTTCTTTTACAAGTGGCTTTAATAATAATGAGTTTAATGTGCAACCCTTTAATCTCCTGTGTAATTTAG